TGAAGGTAAACTTTGAGTCCTGCTGAGACCACAGATAGGGGGTAGGAGGCCATGGAAAGTGACATTTACCTAATGGTCTTGTGTGTCTCTACCCCCAGAAGGGGATTCTTCCGAAGACTGCTGCACAGAAGGTGTGCATCAAAGAAGAAAAGTCAGGTACATTTGGGGCGGATCCAGCGCCGTGGGGGAGAAAGCAGGCGAGATGCAGGGTTAATAACGCCCTTTCTCGTTACCAGGAGGGTGGCTTTTTCTGGAGAAAGCGGCCACTTTGGCTGAGGGATATGTATAAGCCTCTCAATGCCACCCGCAAGAAAAACATGGCACAGAAGCTACACGACAAGGATTCTTCTGACGAAGATGCGATTTTCAACAAGGATGCAGGGTAAATGATGAGGACAACTTAAACTTATATAAAATGACGCGGTGTCCAAAGCGGAGAAATGCAGAACAGAATGTTAAGTTTTCATGGACTCCAGACTTACTGAGCCATGGAAGGTTTAGAAACCCTTAAAACTATTGTCCTGAGATAATGTTTAAACCAAATATATTTCCTGGAGTCTTCTTAAAACTAAATAGTAATAATAAAACCTAAATAATAGTTTATCTTAAATAGTAAAGAATTTCCGCCTTGAGCATTGTGCTTTTTTAAAAACTACCTATATGGGATCAGAGGGAGCTCTGGTGGCATAGTGCCTAAGGCATCTGACTGCTAACCAGATGGTTGGCGGTTCAAACCCACCAGCCACTCTGCAGAAGGAAGACTGGGCAACCTACTTCCATAAGGATATACTGCCTCAAACACCCAAAGGGGCTAGCTATGAGTCGGAATCGACTCGATTGCAGTGTGTTTGGTTTTGGATATGGGATCAGAGTGACTACAGCAAGTGAAAAGATTACCCAGGAGCCTCGGGGCAGTGAGTTTATGTTAACGGCGGAGGAACTACTCAGAGAGGGAGGGTGAGATGGTTGCGCAACTCAAAGCGTCACTTTGCGTGTGATCAGCGTCCCTGTACTGTACGTGTGGAAACTGTTGAATCGGGGGAGGTTAGCTGTGTGTGTTCTCAAGAACAACAAAGGAAATAAAATAAACGTCTTTATAAAATGAGGAGGCAATGGAAAGTTGGGTTGCTCCTCTCCAGAATCAGAGCCATTGGCATTGTTCTTGTCGTAGGGAATGGAAGGACGTTGTGATAGACATAGAGCCTACAGAGTCAGCCACAGAGGCCGGTGAGGAAAGTGAAGCGCCTGAGGACAGGAGCGAAGTGTGAACCCCATCCTCCTTCAGAGCACTCAAAATATTTTCTAAGCATTGGCTTCTCAGCGTTGCTTGTTGTCTGCGTTGTGGCCGAGAGCCACGAAACTTCAAAGATTCGAGGGACCAAAAAACTGCACTGGAGGCACCCTCATACACATGAATGAGAGTTATTCTCACGAGCAAGGGAGGGGCTTACGAGAAAAGCAACATCAACATCCTAGCCTCCAAGTCCACTAAACGGGTATGGGGTGCTGGGGTGGAATGTTCCGGGAGTGGGTCCTAGTGTTTGGTGCAGCTCAGCACGTAGGGGGCTAGCAGAGAGGGGGTTCGTTGTTGCAGGTGTGCGTGCCGCTTAATGATTGTCCCAGCCTGGGCCACCCGTTTGTGGCTTAGTGAATTATTTACCCACCCAGTGATAGCGTAGTGGGTTTTCACTGTTACTGGTTGTGGTAGTCAAGTGTGGGTGTCAACTTGGCTGAG